CCTCAGCTCCAGCCCAGCCTCACCTGCGCTCGCTGTCCCTTGGGGTCCCGGCAGCCTGCAAAGACCCACTCAGGTGGGTTTGGCAATGCCAGCAGGTGCTGGACAAAGCCCAGGCCGATTCCCCGGTTGGCCCCAGTCACCAGAGCGGAGCGGACACGCAGCTCTCCCATGTTGCTTCTCCTGCTTCTGCTCAGCGCACGTTGTTTGCTCAGTGCCCAAATGCTTCTTATAGCTTGCTGGACTTATAGCGTACTCACACAGAGTTTGCGCAAACCCTCAGTTCTGGGTACAATCCAACCTGCTCAGAACTTTCAAGGAAAATGCTCTTGGCTGGGATCCAGCCTTGCTAAAGGGTCAAAGTCTGTTTTTTAAGGACAATTTGGCTGTCTGGTGATTCCTGACCTCCTAAATCAGAAGCCAGCAGCAGCCCTGGCCAGGAGAAGCTTTGCTGTGTGCGGACAGTGGAAGCAGCAAGTGGGAAGGAGACACGATGCCCCATGGGTCTGCAGGACTTCCACTGAGCTGCTGCTCCTGCATCTCAAGCCAGATGGGTGTAGCAGATCGTAGCCATGCATCAACCAGTCTGAGGTGATCTCTTCCCCTTTCCCTGTCTGTCGCAGTCAGATTGTTGCTCAGATGGCCACAAGTTGGTGTTCTCTGCTCTCCTTTCTTCCAAGCAAATGCCCCATGTGCAGTGTTTCCATTGGCAGAGTTGTTCTTTGGAGCACTGAATCCAAAGGCAGGGGCACAGGCTGACGGGCTGATGAGCAGTGCTGTAGTCACTGAACAGTGCAGGTATATTGGCTTCTCCCATTGCGTTGTCTTGGCGGTAGAGTCCAGCAGAGCATCTTCCCCCCATCCAGGCTGCCAGAACTGCTCCAAAGCCCTGCTGTGCCCAGCCGTACATCCTGCTGACCCCTCTGCATGCCTGGCCAGTCTTAAGATCACTATGGAGCCACCAGAGCAGGTAGTCCTGCCTGCCTCACTCCTCTCCCACCCACCGTCTGCCAGTGCCCACATTTGGGCACTGACCTGAGGCCTGATGGCCCAGCTCCATGAAAAACTGTCTTCTGCTCCATGCCTGCTGTCACCAGGCTCTCCCCATGCACTGCCTTGGGCTATCACAGTACTTCTTCATCCAGAACAGGACAGATCAGTGTGTTTTGTCATATCAACATGCTCCTCATCTAGATGTGGATCCCACTGCTGATAAATACGTCACTGGTGGCCATCAGTTTGTTGCCAGGACTGTTAGAAAGAATTTTACACAAAACATTTTAAAGCTTCTGCTGTCATGGCTTTGAAACAACATTTCCATGCACACGCCTGTGAGAGAGCTGAATTTGGCACACACCCTACCACCACATCTCAGCAGGAGACACAGCCCAGCTCAGATGTCAGAACTGCACACAAATCTGCCTCCTGTCCGGCACAGAAATGGCATGCAATGTTTGCCATCAGGCCATACCCAATGGTTCTGCCTCTGGGCCTGGGGGGAAAATTTCCCTGCTAACTTATTTGTTAAGTTCTGCTGCTGCTCTTCACCAGACTCTGCAGGTACAATATCATCACGTTAAGCACTCCCATTTCATGCACTTATGAAGACGTTGTGACCTAGGCAACACATTTCCCCTTTCCCTTCTGCTGTCTGTTGCTTTTATTTCATGACACGTCCTCCCTGTGGCCCCACACAACTTTCTGCACCATCGTGCTATGATCTGTTCCTGCTGTGCTAGCCCACCAAGGCCATACTTTCAGCTTCTTGGTGCAACATTGCTCTGTCTCAGCACCGCTTTGAACCTCTGAGCCTTCCAGCTGTCTCTCCCCATGAGTTCTGTCTGAGGCTGGTCTCTCATTGAGTGCTGTTCATTCTCTCTGCTTCAGCACACCTCCCAAACTGCAGGACTGGCTTTCTAGCCCCCATAGTTCTTTTCCTTGGCCTTTTCTCTGTATTTTCACTACCTTTTCACGGCCACAGACCACCACTCTATTAGCTGATACATGCCATTTGTAGAAGACAACGACCCTCCTTGCTGTGCTGGCCATGGAGCCTTGTCAAAAGCGTTGCCCTCCCCAAGTCTCACGCGGGCAATTTCTGCCTAATCATGCTGCATGGATTCAGGACATGACCTCACCTTCCACACTATCAGTGGCTGAAAGCTCGATTCTGTTCACACCCATGCAGTTGTTTGCACAAAAGGCAATTACGAAGTTGTTTGTTAGGCTGAGAAATGGGCATAGCACAGTTATATTTACCATGTTTAATCCACTGTGTAAGCAGCAGTAAAAGTGCTGCCTTTTATCAAGATTCATGACTTTACAATGTCTTCAAGGCTAACCAGGCTCATGTCTTCACCTGTTGATCATTTACTAAAGAACAAAAGGGCAGCAATGAATGAACAGCTTATCAAGGGGTTGCTTGGGGCTTACTCCTGCCACTGCCTGAATGCTGAAGCTGGGCAAGTCCTGTCAGCCTTCTGTGACTCATTTCCTTGTTTGGCTGAAAAGTGCTACTGAGTCCACTGTGCGAAGGGTCTGTGCAGGGATCCAGAGTGAGACTAAGGACATGCCTCTTTCTGAACCTCATGGTGGATTTTCTGGTTCAGACCAGACTTCCTGAGCCAAGAGCTTCTTGTAAGCAAAGCATTTCTGAAGGCCTCAAACTGTCTGATTGCAAAAAGCAGACACGGAAGTTTCGATGGAGACACGCTGGATGCTGATGGGAGCTGACCACAAGGCCAAGCAAGGTCCAAAAAGCAGAGAGCGCTTGCACCCAAGCAAGAATGAGGAAATGGAGGGGGAGCAGCATCAGGTAACTTCTGGCTTCTATGGGAAGGAGCACAGAGGAGGCAGACTTCTTTCAGTGCTGCTGAATTTTAGTATAGCAAAGAGGCACAACCACCTTCTGGTTGAAGCTTGAGTAGATGGCAGGGAGAAGTGCTTGGGCTCCTGGAATACAACATGGAAGATGTGGTTGTGTACCCAAGACAGACCTTAGGACATAGAATCACAGGACATCCTTAGCTGGAAGGAATTCATGTTTAATTAGCTGACAACATTGGAACACTTTGTGGTAGATCTGCAAGACTCCTCCATGCAGGGAGGCCATGGAAAGACACAAGG